AATCGCATTTGCACACACTTAATCGTGTTTGCACACATTTAATCCGCATTCGCACACACTTAATCTAGACCATTAAAATTAATTAGATGAGTACACACAATTTGTTCTCACGCTCTCACCTAAGCAAGTGTTCTCATATATATATATATATATATATATATATATATATATATATATATATATATATATATATATATATATATATATATATATATATATATATATATATAAAATAACAATCATATAGGAACTCATCTTTAGGTAGGAACGTAAGAACTAATCTAAGCCTTTTATTTTATTTAATCAACGGTTGATGTTTAATCATTCTTAATGGGTTTTTTTCATTGATCAAGTTATATTTTAGACAAACAAGGGTATTTTAGGTTTTTTGGGTTGTGTACGTGGGTGGAAGGTGTCGTCTTTCTCGCTGGATCTTCGCAATCTCAAGTTGAGAGTCATAGGTTTCTGCTCTCCCTCGTTGCTGCTTCAGTTCTCCGTCTCACAATTTCTATATTTTCGTGGACCATGGAAAACTGCAGGTTGGCCCATTTGTCGTGCTGGCATTCGCCCTTGTGGGCGTTCTGGTGGCCGTTGAGGGCCTGGGAAATGGGGAAGTTCCAGCAGCAGTAGTGGCACTCAAATTTCCGGCTGCTTTCGCCGCCGTTGTTGTCATTGTCTTTGTTGTCCCCTCCTCCTGCGGCGGCGGGTGTCGTTGGATTTGGAGTTGTGCTCCGTGACGCCGCCGCCGCCGAAGACTTCGCCGAAGAGCCTAATGTCCTTCTCCGCTTTGAGTGGCGTAGGGCGGATGAAGGGAAGCTGATAGAAGGAGTCAACATTCATGAAGTCGGGAGTCTCTCTCTGCTCATTCTTCTCCATTATCAGCGAATTGGGTGTCAATTGTGAAGTGAAATTGTTTAAGTAGAGAGAGAGAAAAAAAGGATATGTTGTTTAAGTAAAGGCTGAAAACTCTCTACCTTCAAGCTTTCTGTCACGGAATATGGGGAGTAGATGGAATTTCAGCAGATAAATGACGCCTTCCAACTACTTATTGAAGGAAAGTCATTGCGTTGTCTTCTTCATCTTTGATGTATTTTCTTAGGAAATTGGCGAACATTATATTGATGCAAAGATTTTAAATTTTCAATGCATTTTATTAAATTACATTATAAATTACTGTGGCTGAAAATTCATGTTTTATATTTGTCTCTTAGATTATATCTCTGGTGAGTTCTTTTGACATGAATTTTTTCATCCAGCGGCTTGTAGTTGAGATATTAATAACTGGATTGTTTTTGAGGGGAGTGATTTTTTTAGACCTTGGAAAGGCGAATACAATAACTTGAAAAGGTGGAGAGTCCTTTCTTTGTATCCATATTTTGTGCATTCATTATATGCTGGCAACTGTATATCTGCTATTTCATTTGTATTTGTGATGAATGTTGGATTGTAAAAGGCATTCCCCTCTACTTTGCTCATAACACAATTCATGTCTCTGCAAGTCCTTGATAGTTCTTAATTGGAAACTACATATGCAATTGCTTCTTTTGCAAATATTTTTTTAACCAGGCTTATAAGTGCATAAAATGTGGAACTATTACGTATGCAAAAAAAATTTCTGGCCATTATGTTTACTCAGATGTGCACTGCAGTGGGAGTCTAAGCATCTAATTGCTATAAGCAATGCAATTAAGAATTCGCTTACTTCAAGTAAATGATCTTATACTTGTAGCTCTTCAACAAACCATCTACATTTTGGCACCATCTATTTGTGGTCATTCACATCATCCATGGACATTTTGGCACACACAATGCAGAATGACACACACTCATCCTCTACGTTATGGCATAGTCGCTTTAACGCAAGTGCACATAGAATTGTTTAACATCATCCTGGTTTTCATGGATTCAATCTATTAGAATTTTTGCGCATAATGGCACACACAGATCAACCTAAGTGCACGCCAATTTATGGTCACAATAATTCTACACATTATGGCACACTCAGTTTTACCCAAGTGCACAACGTCATCTTTAACATCATCCTGATTTATGCGTATTCGATCTATCAGTAATTTTGCACATTATGGCACTCACAGTTCAAGCTAAGAGCTACATTCTATATAGTATTTTTTCCAGTGTAATTTAATTTTAAATTATTAATGTTCTATACTTTAAATATAAATTCCATTTAAAAAAACAAAACTCACTTGAATACCATCTTCATTTTTATGTTATTATTTTTTATTTTCCTAAATAATAAAAAGTTTCCAAATATTATTTCACACTTAGTATTATCCAAGTGCACACCATCATCATGGCTTATGCAAATTCGATCTATCAGTATTTTTGCACAGTATGGCACACACAAATCAATATAAGAGCTACATTCTATTAGTAGTATCAATTTGCCTTCCGCAATTACGTTCTATTAGTAATTTTGCACATTTAGGAACACACAATTCAGTCTTGCACGCACAGACACACTCATCGTCTACGTTATGACACAGTCGTTTTAACGCAAGTGCACACAGAAGTGTAGAACATCATCCTAGTTTTTGTGGATTCAATCTATTAGAATTTTTGCAAATGGCTCACACAAATCAACCTAAGTGCACACAAGTTCATTGTCACAATAATTCTACACATTATGGCACACTCAATTTTACCCATGTGCACAACGTCATCATTAACATCATCCTGGTTTACGCGGATTCAATCTATCAGTATTTTTGCACGTTTTGCACATTTAGGCACACACAATGCGCAGTATGGCACACACTCATCCTCTACGTTATGGAACAAATATTTTTACGCAAGTGCACACAGAAGTGTATAACAACATCCTGGTTTCCGTGGATTCATTCTATTACAATTTTTGCACATAATGGCACACACAGATCAACCTATAGTGCACGCTAGTTAATGGTCACAATAGTACTACACATTATGGCACACATGGTGTAACCCTTCTGCACACCAACTTAATTCTTGTTTTCCTTTTCGTGCAGAAACTAATTATGCACAGTATGACACACACGTGCAACCCGAGTGCACACCATAGTGCATCACCTCATCCTGGTTTCTGAGGTTTCAATCTGCCAGTACCACTACACACTTTGGCACACTACACAGTATAACTCATGTGCACACCAACTCCAATTTCGTCTTGCCAGCCGCTCTCAGTTTGTAGTTTGTACGTTATGGCACGACCATTTTCTCGAAAGTACACACCGAAAGGTATAACATCATCATGGTTTCCTTGGATTTGAAATCTCAGAATTTTTACACATTATGGCACATACAGATAAACGTAAGTGCACACCTGTACTACCAGATTACGTATTTGAAGATTCATTGGCAAATCCGTTTAGTGACCAACAATCGGGACTTGATTTCAATGATAATGTATTTCCTGATCTTGAGGATGCTCATGCAAATGCTACTGGAGGTGTTTTAGCTGCAACCTTCTTTGCAATGGAACACAATGATCACTTCATAATAAATACCATCAACGTGCCCGAGAATGTTTCTGCCAATAGTCATGGATGATCTGCAGTCTGCGTCTCTCTTTGAAATCAGATGAACGGCGGACGACCGTGCTTCATTCCCTATCACAAATCAGACGAATGCAAATTCTCAAATCAATAGGACTCCTTCCTTATCTTGTCATCCTAAAATCTTGGAAAGAATCAAATTATAATATTTCATTTTAATTGGTAGTTGGACTAAATTACACTAATATCCTTTCTAATTAATTATGTTTAAGATGCACATAAAAATGTTTAATTATCTAGACCATTGATTAAGCAAGTTTAAATGGATTGGATTAGTTCTTATGTTCCTACCTAACAAAGGGTTCTTACGTGAAGGCCACTCTCTCTCTCTCTCTCTCTCTCTCTCTCTCTCTCTCTCTCTCTCTCTCTCTATATATATATATATATATATATATATATATATATATATATATATATATATATATATATATATATATATATATATATATATATATATATGGATGCACTCAGGTGCGAATAAGTGCTCAGGAGGGAAATGCGAACGAATCAGCGCCCGACACGTGTCCAGATCTAATAACTTAAAAAAAACGCGGTGGCATTTTCGTAAATAATTGAACATCGAAGTGTAAGTAAAATCACTTACAAGTGCACCTACTTTCACCTATAAGTGCATGTAATTTTGCCTTGTTAGCATTCACTTTCCGCAAACATTCATGCACCTGGGTGTGCTTATAACTATATGTGCAACTATTTATAACTATAGGTGCAACTACTTATAACTATAGGTGCACCTACTTTCACCTATAAGTGCATGTAATTTTGTCTTGTTAGCATTCACTTTCCGCAAACATCCATGCACCTGGGTGTGCTTATATGTGCAACTATTTATAACTATAGGTCCAACTACTTATAACTATAGGTGCACCTACTTTCACCTATAAGTGCATGTAATTTTGCCTTGTTAACATTCATTGATCTGAGTTCAGCGGGTAGTAATACCCCTGAAAACCACTCGCAAACATTCATACACCTAGGTGCAACTACTTATAACTATTTGTGCAACTAATTATAACTATAGGTGCAACTAAGTATTGATGCTCAGGGTAAATTTTTACTTGCACCTATAATACATTTTACATGCACTTGTAATACATTTTACTTGCACTTCAATGTTCAATTATTTACAAAAATGCCACTGCGTTTTTTAAAAAAATCAGTATTTCTCATCCATTAGATCTGGACACGTGGACGAACAGAATTCATTCCTATTTCGCGTCTGGCCGAAGCATTCGCACCTGAGTGCGATTCTATATATATATATATATATATATATATATATATATATATATATATATATATATATATATATACCCCATCTATTAAGTTACATTTTTAGCCGAAACAAAATTTTATTATTCAATTTGGTATCAAGGTCAAATTATGAAATATCCAAGAAGAAACCAAAGAGACAGAATAATTTGGTCATGAAGAGAAGGCTAATAAAATTAAACAAAAATACCTTTCAACTCATCTTGCTTATATCAGTTTTACCTTAAAGTCCAATAGAATAACTAAAATTGTAGAGATGACAATTGAATCATTAAAAAGGGATTAAGGGAGTAATTTTGAACAGGCTTTCCCTGTTGCCAGTCAACCCCCATCCAGAGCCTGGTCAACACCACAGAAGATGAAGCAGAGTTTGCCATGAAAGAAGCACAGCAAATCTTGAAAGATGGATGGTTCTTTACTTCTAAGTGTCAAAAATATGTGCACCCAGCTTCGTTGAATCAGCAGTGGGAAGTCATTCTTGCACCAAGCGCAAGGAACCTGCAGAATCCAGAAAAGAAAGAAGAGAATCATAAAAATTTGTAAAAAGAAATGGGCATTAAATACACAGCTCAAGCAGTACATGTTTGTTGTAACTCAAACTGATCATATACTGCATAATGCATTTGTAGTATCAACACCGTTGGAAGCAAAAAGTGTGTGCCTGTTCTATAAGTTAAATAGCAAAACCGTGGAGGTCCAAAGCAAACAAAGTAGATGACTTTGAACTCTGATCTATCAGTCGTAATCCTACATTCCTTTTTGGGTGTAACCCAGGGTGACTAATCCCCTTGGCCCTTGCTGAATTGTAGGCCCCTCTAAGGATGGGACAACTGGCCTGGAGATTTAAAGTTGCTCCATACCCAAAGCCAAGAATCAATCCTTTCATCCCTTGACAATTGATTAAGGATGGATGAGTCTCTTCCACTCAACCATACCCCCAGGTTGTGATCCTACATTCCTACCTCAACAGATTGTTTTCTTGTTTTAAGATTATCAGAAAAAAATTCTTCACTTTTTGTTGTATTGTTGTGATTTAAGGAATGTGCGAATGTATATTCTCTCTATTTCAGTGTGTAAGTACAGAAGATGAAAGATCTATATATACAAGCTAAGGAAAGACTAAAGCCATTAGATTCAAAATTCAAACCCCAAGGTCGAGAGTGATTCTCTCAAGCACAACCTAACTTCTCTAACACTCCCCCTCAAGCTGGAGCATAAATATCAAACATGCCCAGCTTGTTACATATATACGACATCCGACTTCCGCTCAGCCCTTTCGTGAATATGTCAGCTAATTGATCACCACTACGAACATGCTCAGCCGAAATCAACCCTTGTTGCACTTTCTCTCGTATAAAGTGACAATCCACCTCGATGTGTTTCGTCCGCTCGTGGAAAACTGGATTATTCGTAATGTGAATGGCCGCACGATTGTCACACCACAGCTTCACAGGAAGTTTTACTTCTACACCCATCTCTTTTAGAATGTTATGCACCCAAACTATCTCACTGGTCACATGAGCCATAGCTCTATACTCGGACTCTGCACTTGACCGAGCCACAACACTTTGCTTCTTACTCTTCCATGAAACTAAATTGCCTCCCAAAAACACACAATATCCTGTCATCGACTTCCTGTCACTAGGCGAGCCAGCCCAATCCGCATCGGAGAACGCCTCAACACCTGTATGTCCATAATCAGCATAAAGGACCCCCTTCCCAGGTGCACTCTTCAGATATCTCACAATACGAACAGCTGCTTCCCAATGAGTTCGTGTAGGTGAACTCATGAACTGACTCACCACACTCACCGGAAATGCAATATCCGGTCGAGTAATCGTGAGGTAGTTTAGCTTCCCTACCAGTCTCCTATACCTTTCTGGATCCTCAAACACCTCCCCCTCATCTGGTACAAGCTTGACCCCTTGTTCCATCGGCGTATCACACGGTTTCGACCCAAGCAATCCAGTATCACCAAGAAGGTCCATCACATATTTTCTCTGTGAGAGAAATATGCCCTTCTTTGAGCGAGCAACCTCAATCCCCAGAAAGTATTTTAGTATTCCCAAGTCTTTAGTATGAAACTCAGCTCCAAGGAAGGACTTAAGAGCACCAATCCCGTCTACATCACTACCTGTGATCACAATGTCATCCACGTACACTATCAATAAAACACACCCACGGTTAGTATGTTTATAAAAGACAGTATGATCATAAGCACTCCTCTGCATTCCAAATTTCATAATCGCACTGCTAAACCTCCCGAACCACGCACGCGGGGACTGCCTCAGACCGTACAAAGATTTCTTTAACTTGCACACCTTCCCAGACTCCCCCTGAGCTACAAACCCTGGTGGTTGCTCCATATAAACTTCTTCAAGTAAATCACCATGCAAAAAGGCATTTTTGACATCTAATTGATATAACGGCCAGTGATTAGTAGCAGCCAAAGATATAAAAACACGTACCGAAGCCAACTTAGCCACCGGGGAGAAAGTCTCGGTATAATCTATACCATACGTCTGTGCATACCCCTTAGCCACCAAGCGCGCTTTGAGTCTAGCAACAGAACCATCAGGTTTCATCTTCACTACATAAACCCATTTACACCCAATAGCTACCTTACCGAATGGAAGATCCACCAAATCCCAGGTTTGGTTCTCTTCAAGAGCAGCCATCTCTTCCCCCATAGCCTGTCTCCAACCATCATGACCCATAGCTTGTTTCAACAATGTTGGCACTTTAACTGACTCTAACTGAGATATAAAGACACGTGAAGAGGGGGATAAATGGACATATGACACAACTGAGGAGATGGGATGAACACAACGACGCGTACCTTTACGAACAGCAATTGGAAGATCGGAATCTGTTGACGACGATGCTGGCGAGGAAGGATTGGCTGATGGACCTAACAATGCCTGAACTTCTCTTGACCGCCGGTGATACACCTGTGTAACAGGAGGCCTTGTCTCATCCCAACCCACGAAAGGAACAGTAACAGTATATGTAAGAAAATCGTCTGACACTGAATTACAATCAGATGAGGTGAGAGGTTCCTTAAACACAACATCCTCAAAGAACGACACATCAGCAGACACTAAGTACCTTTGTAAGTCAGGAGAATAACACCGATACCCTTTCTGAGTGCTAGAATACCCCAAGAATATGCACTTCAGAGACTTAGGATCAAGTTTCCCTCTGTGAGGACGGATATCCTGAACAAAACACGTGCACCCAAACACCCTGGGTGGAAGGGAAAATAATGGACTGGACGGATAGACAAGGTGACACGGAACCTGGCCTTGGAGTACTGTCGAGGGTAATCGATTAATCAAGAACGAAGCTGTATGGACAGCATCCGGCCAGAACCCTTTGGGAACTTTCATCTGAAATAACAAGGCCCGGGCAACCTCCAACAGATGGCGATTTTTACGTTCTGCCACACCATTCTGTTGAGGAGTGCCCACACAAGAGGACTGGTGTATTATGCCGTTTTGGCTCATATACTCGGAAAAAGTACGGGAAAAATATTCAGTCCCATTATCACTACGCAAAACTTGAATAATTTTATTGAACTGAGTCTTAACCATAGAACAGAACTTACAAAAGACTTCAAACAATTCATCCCTCGATTTCATGAGATATAACCAAGTGTGTCTCGAGAAATCGTCCACAAAGATTACAAAGTATTTGAACCCGGACTTAGACGGAACCCGACATGGTCCCCATACATCTGAATGAACCAACTGAAATAAAGACTCTACCCTTTTATTGACTCTAGGCGGATATGGTACCCGACAATGTTTTGCAAACTCGCAAGATTCACATTGCAAAACAGACAAAGATTCTAAGTTCGAACACAACTTCTTTAAAATAGGCAAAGGCGGGTGACCATACCGACAATGTAACTTGGAAGGAGACGTACTACCCAACAGACTAACAGGAGCCTTTTCAGGACTAGGAGGGAACTGTTCCAGCACATATAGCCCACCAGCTTCCTTTCCTCTACCAATAATCGCCTTCGTCAAAAGATCCTGAAACAAACAGTAACCAGGAAAGAACACAACACAACAGTTTAAACTTCGAGTGATTTGACTTATCGACAATAAATTGAACGGAAATTTCGGAAGGTATAACACACGAGAGAGAGGTAACGACATGGTTACACTGGTACTACCTCTACCCGAAACTGAAGCGGATGAACCATCTGCTAGAGTAACTGTAGTACCAGGCGGAAAGGAAGAATATTCAGAAAAGACATTTAGATTACCTGACATATGATCACTGGCTCCGGAATCAATAACCCACTGTCGGGATGAGGACGAGACACAAGCAGTAGGATTACCTGTTTGGACGAACGTGGCTGAGGAAGACGGTAACGTTTCCTGACTGTTTATAGGTTGTGAGGTAGACACTTTTAACTGTTTGAACATAGCCAACTCTTCATCTGTCATTACAACCACATTACCCTCTGGTTTGGAGACAGAATTGGCAAAGCTTTGTGGTCGGAGAGGTTTTGGACATTGGTTACGTAGATGACCGGGCTCTCCACAATTATAACAAACCCTTGGACCTCTACCTCGTCCTCTACCAAAACCACCACGTCCTGGGAATCGACCCCCGCGATTACCAGAACCTACACCTCCATTATCCCCTTGCGCTACAAAAACATGCTTCTCCGATACCCCGCTACCTGTACTTGAGGCATTCTGGACCATAGTAAAAACTTGGTCTATTGATTCTAATTCTTTATGCCCTAGCAACTGAGACTTCACAACATCATATTCTTTGTCTAACCCTGAAATCCAGCTAAACACATGCAACTGTTCACGTTGCTTTTTTACTGTGTCCAAATCCGTGACTGGCATAGCAGTACACAACGCCTCACTCGCACTCTTGAAATCATAAAAATAATCTCGGATGTCTCGTCCATTTTGGGAGGGACGATGGACATCCTGAGACAATTGATACAATCTCCTCAGGTTGTTAGTTCCACTGAACCACTTATTTACCAAGTCCCAAACGTCCTTAACAGTCTTACAGTGTTGCATAGACAGAATGATTTTCCTATCAATACAATTTATTATGCGGGATAATAAAGCTTTATCATCCCTGTTCCATTCTTGAGCCTCAGTTTGCTCTGTTGGACACGTCCCAGTCAAATGTTTATCCTTACCCATACCCCCCAAATTAATTTCAACCAAAAATCTCCATTCTCCAAAATTAGACCCATCTGGTGCAAGCACCACATCCACTAATTTGGTCGGGGTCGATATAATATTACACGTAATATTTCTTGCATCCGCCATAAAAAAAACTTAAACAAAAGAACCTGGGAAAGTCAACCGTCCGTATTCTGACACAAGCCTGAAGAACACTCCAACCACCCTTCAACAACACATCTCACGCACTGCACAGCTGGACTGGGCTCCTCACTGCGACCACGCCGGTGTAATCGGCGTCGGAAAAAGCCGCCGGAAAACTCCCCACGCGCCGGCGCGTGGATCGGAGGTCAACTGTGGCGGTGGCGCGTGGCGGCGCGTGGCAGCTCCGGTGGCGTCGCGGTTTCACGGCGAAGAGTCGCCGTCGTCCTCCGGTCGCAACCCACCCCTCACTGCTCTGATACCATGTGATTTAAGGAATGTGCGAATGTATATTCTCTCTATTTCAGTGTGTAAGTACAGAAGATGAAAGATCTATATATACAAGCTAAGGAAAGACTAAAGCCATTAGATTCAAAATTCAAACCCCAAGGTCGAGAGTGATTCTCTCAACCACAACCTAACTTCTCTAACAATTGTCAACTCTATGCAACAGTTTTCTTCTTTCCATTAAGGCAATGATTCACAGTAGATGGGGATGAGAGATATTTTCAAGTAAGGTAACAACAGCAACCACCTGGAGGGGGTGAGAAGAATTTTCAATTTTCACCTCCCATTCAAGAGCAGGTGTGTACTAGAAGGAGATCCACTGTCAGTTGGTAGGTTTACTGCTGAGACAGAATGTTCTTCACATGTAAAAACATATGATGATATGGCAGAGAAAATATTAGTGAATGGCAATTCACTACTATTTTCTCTACATCCATATAATCCGAATGAGTACAAATAAAAATGTATTTCCAGAAACTGTTGGTCTGTCAGGTGAAACGTCACATTTACATCAAACATTAATTTGGTTTGAGTCCACATCAATCATGGATGAAGCTGATTAAGATCCAAATATAAAGCTTGATCCTTTAACTGCAATATTTCACATTAAATTTGCAATTCTGTCTTCAACTAGAACTTTCCAAGTCCTCAAAAAATAAAAACTAGATCTTTCTGGCATTCCATAATCCCTAATTCCCTATATCATCAGCAGCACCTAACGCACTATGGGATAAAAAGCGACCCATGACCAAGCTGTCCATACATACTCTATAGCATAATAAACCACAACGTGCATACACACAGTATGGTGTAACACTGCAACCACTATGTTTTTATCCCTAGAGTAGAGTTGACATCCCTTGTCTTTTTATCTAAGAAAAAGTGTCAAATAAGCTACTAAACTTATCACTTTCGTGCAATCAGGTCACTATACTTAAAAAGTGTGCAACTAAACCATCATACAAGCAAAATATGTGTAACCGAGTCATTTTTTAAATTTCTTTAATGCAATTTGAGTTGAAAACAATCTTTACTCCCAACTAATTTCGCAGGGGAAAGAGCAAGTCTTAATACATACCATGTAAGCAATATGATCAGATTCTACCGAGAAAAATTGAAAAACTATCCTAATTGCACATACTTTGCTTGGTTGATGGTTCGATTGTTATTTGACACTTTCTCCTTTTACGGAGTATCTATTATGCAAAGCCTTAAAGTTTTCTAATAATTCGAGTGAGTATGAGTTATAACACATTTATAGCATCCATAGAAACAACCAAAACCAGGAAGTTAGCATGTAAAGAGGAAGCATACCACTATCAAAGGTTCCATTAATTTCTCAAATTCTCCGAAGAAGATGCTGGCAGTGAATGGCCATTCTTGGGCAACTTTGTCAAAATAAGCTGCTCCCCTGCTCCTTCTTCCACCTTCCCAAACAACTGCTTCCTCAACTTCTCATGCAAATGGCCAAACAACTCCTTCTTCAAGGACTCAAATGCCAAGTCAAGCCTCTCAAGCTGCTCCATGGCATTCTTGTTGTACATGAACAATCCATAGTACAAATCAAAGCTATCACTGGCAGTATTCTCTACCAAATTCAACAATGTCTCATACCCCTTGGTGTTAATCGGCGTAGTCTCCAGTTGCAGCTTCTCCAACACCCTCCCCACCGTATGCGTCATGAACTGTGACCCGGCAGCGTGCTTATCATGCTCAGCACAGCTCATTTCCACCATTCTACAACCTTCCTTCTCGAAAATATCGAGAAAACTCTCGACTCTTGAAACCCTAGAATCCTCATCGCCTATCCGAACCTTATCAAACACAAATGGCAATCCGTACCAGCCATTCTTCCCGCTTTCCGGCCCGAACATGGGGTGAGTGCAGAGAATATCGAAGTGTGAAGGTAGCAATTGAAGCATTATGTTCTTAGGGAATTCCTTCACCGATAATACATCAACGAAGAGGGTATTCCGCTTCAGTCGCTGGATTGGAAGCGCGCGGAGGACCGGCTCGGTGGAGATGATGGAGGTGCAGAGGAGGATGACGTCAGGATGCTGCTCGCAGAGGTCATGCATGTCGGAGTAGAAGGAAACGCCGAGTGATTGCGCCGCCAGAGAGTAATCGGTCCGAGAATACGCCAGCAGGGTGTGGCCTTGGCGGATGAAAGCCTTAGCGAGGAATTGGCCGAAATTTCCGAATCCTATTACGGCGATTTTCAGCTTGGTAGACTGGATTATATCGTTCGAGATCTTTGCCTCGTAGTCATACGGCTGGGCGGCGTCGATTGCTCTGATTTGGAGGAGGCGGCTGCGGCGGCGGCGGCCTTGAAGCAGGCATGGCGGCGGATTGGATTTTCGATGAGAAATGTAGCGGCTCCGGCAGGGAAGGGGGAGAGTGGACTTCGTCTTAGAAGCGACGCCTCCGCCGGTTGCGGAGTTGAATTGAACTGCGGCGAAAGACATTGCGATTAGGAGGCGGAGTGCGGCGGCGGCAGCCTTATGAAAAAAGGCTTAGTTGCCGTTTGGTTTAAAAACAGGAAAAAAGTGTCAAATTGATTCCTAAGGGAATCAGCAATTGAGTCCAGTAAAAAAAAAAAAAAAACTCATTCAAATTCTCTAAATCGGTAATATTATTCAATTGAGTCACTGACTTGTTTAGTCAATGACTATTTAATGAGACTACGGTTGCGGTAAGCAAGCACCGTGGAGTGGCTGTGGTCGGAGAACTGAGACAGTTATCGTGGTTTCAGGACTATAGTCGCGGTCTTGGGATGTTGTCTCAGTCTTAAGTGTCCGGCGACGTCGCGGCTCCGATTTTGGTAGCCGACTGTTGACTTCGCTGATGCAGAGTCTTGCAATAAATGAAAGATCACCGGCTATGCTATGCGGTAGTGACCGGACTTTCATCGCCTAAAAAGTTGTAGTCTATATTTTTTGTATTTAATTCCAACGATGGTTCGCGATTGCAATTTCGGTTTCTTCTATGCGCTTCTCTGTTGGGAGGACAACGACATGCCGTTTGGCACTGTGATTAATTGAACAATTTTATCAATTTAAGAAATTTGAGAGAAATTTTTTTTACTTAAGGATTCAATTACGCTATTCAATTGACTTAGGAAACCAGTTTAACTTTTTAAAAAAAAAATAGGAAAAGAAATTATATTTGCGGTGTCACGCCAGTCTATTTCCTATAGACATGCGTAACTATGTGTTACACGGGACAACAAATTTTGTTTGGACGCTAAATGGAAAGCAACAAGTTGTGGTCTTGTGGATATGGCAAAAGAGGCGTGGGATGTTGGGAAGGTGGCATTTATGTGATTTTTTTTAATAAATAACTCTTTTTTTTTAATGTTACTGGCCCTATTACATTATAGTATCTGTCCATATACTTTCTCAACCTACTGAAACACAAAGAACCAATAATGCCTCTACCAAGACTTGAACTCATAACCTTCCAAATGAAAGTCCAACCCGGGTACCATTAGACCACATAGTCCTGGTTTTTAATAAATAACTCAAGTTTAAAGTTTTCAATTCTTTCGGACCATATCGTGAATGTATGAATATGCCCTCGGCCACATAAGAAAATAATGTTGAAATTTTAGCATAAAATAATATAGAAAGTGGATATTTTATGGTACAAATATATGTAGGGTTCACTTTTAATTTTGGGTCGGGTTAAAGTAGATTTGAGTTCTTCGTAGTGAGACGAACATATTGATATATTGTACACTCAAAACGGATAATGAGTTAATTAAAGTAGACACAAAGTGAATTTGCACCATTATATATACAATAGCCTTTAGTAAAGTGACAGGCTAAGTTCTGTCAACTTTTCGTAAATATTTTTTAATATTTTTAGTCACTGTCTGAGTACTAACCGAACTTACCATTCGGTCAAATGGGTTGACCGAATGGTTAACTCCTCGGTTGTAACCTTTCGAACTACCATTCGAGCACTGCTCGAAGGTACCGTTCGAGTTACCATTTTGGAGAATTTTAAATTTTAGAATTAATCTACAGGTTAGTGGTCAGTTGTGTCCTATATAAGTTGTGGTTGAGCATATGAATTTTACATATTGAAAATATAGATTTTCTCCTCTCGAAACTCTGCTCAAACTTCCTTCTCATCCTCTTGTGTTCTTGTTCGCCGGGTTCTATTGTTTGAGTGCTCAAATTTAGAACCGTAATTTGTTTTATCTTGGAAAACCTAAGCTACAACGCTCCTAGCACCAAAGGGATGTAGCAAATAAGGTTTTAAGGATAGTATGAGTATTACATGACTCAAGCTAACCACCTAACCCTTTAACTTTCGTTTTGTGCTTGTTATATTTTTTCCAGAAATAATTTTCTTCGTAGGATTATTCATAACAAATAAATTAAGTAAATTTAACTTTTTTGCTAGACTATGTGAGTTTTTTTTTTATTGAATAAGTAAATAAGTTTAAGAGCCAAACTTAGACACTCACAAACCCTACCTGAAAAGTGGTAAAGGTAAAATGTAAATCATAATGTGTCTCAACTGACATATGCTTGTACATTGCATTGAATCATGCACCCTAAAATTATTAGCAAAGCAATGCTTATAAACTTACTTTTGGTATATCAAAATTAATGTTGATTGGAGTAGGGGCGAAGGGACCTGTTAATTGCAGGGGAGCTTCCCCACCTCCCCCGTAACAATCCAAAATTTTATTTTATAAATCCGATATTAAGAAATTTCAAAATAGGCATTTTCACTCCATTAAAAATTTTTGTGATCAAATGGTGTTTGAATAAATTATTTTTGTCACATTTTAAATTAATTCGACACTAAAATCTATTTAATTCGAAATTCCTAATTTTCGGGTACTTCGCGTACCAGGTTTTAAATCGAGAAATTTATCTGAGTGAGACCGAGATAATTCAAAAAGACTTTAAACAAGGGTTCATCTAAATAGCTTTTTGAGAAAATTCATTTTCAACCCTAAATTGTTTACAATAGCATTTCTAGACTTTGGTCCATGTTGCTTAGTGAACCACAAACCCCATATCTTTGTCTGATGCTTTTAGAAAATCAACCAAACTACCTTTTTGCCCTCCACCAATCATGAGAGAATCTCCTAGGGTTTTGCACCCTATAAAACCACACATTTCCCTCATTGAATACCTAATCTCATTCCCTTGCCTCTCCCAATCTTTGTCTGATAGAAAGAAGAAGCATACACAGTAAGTTCCATTCTTCACCATTCATCTCCTCCCTTTGTTTTGGTGCCTTCTTTGCCTACATTCTTTGAGTTTCCTTAGGCTTAGTTTATTGTTGTTATTTGGGGTGTTTAGGTGGTAAAGAAAATGGTGGAAGTTGAGTGGAGAGGAGGTTGAGATCCACACTAGAAGAAGAAACTACAAGAGGTATAACTCTATGGATTCCTTCTTGAAATTTGGCTTTGTGAAGTCTTATTATTGAGTAGAAATGAGTAAAAATTATGAGATTTTGTTGTGTTTATGCTTAGAAGTGATCTAGTATTTGTCTTTGAGTTGTTGAGAATGTTTTGGACTTGTTTGGATTGTTTTTGCATAAGAAAATGACATCTGGTGCACACACAGAGTGCACTAGATCAGACCAGCGGCCCTAGCCGCCGGCTAGAGCCGAAGTTCCACGGGTCTAGGACACGGCCCTAGAGGAGGGCTGCTGCCTAGACCCGATAGTGTAACGGGGCACATAGGGCGGCTCTTGAGGAGTCCCACCCCAAGTCCCTGAGTAGTGATCTGAGAAGATTTGTGCAGTGGCCGGGCCCTTGTGGCTCAGCTACGTGTCGTTTTGGGCCGAGTGTTACGGGCTCTTGTGGCTCAGCTCTTCGGGATCGTCTCGACGCACGTTTTGGCTTTGATTTCATTGAATTTGGATAAAAATGAGTATGATATGAAGGAATTATTGAAGAATTGCTACACAGTTCACATATTTGTTAGTTCATTGTGTATGAGAAATATTTGACTATGTGATCTGATGATATTTTTGTATTGAGTAGAGAAGCATGATCCTTTGAGAATATGATTTATTATGAAAGCATGATTAGATTGTGATATTTGATCAATGAGAAATGAAGCATATTTTGTTGATAGAATGTATAGAATTTTCTATGTTGCAAACCGAGCATGACGTTATATTCTTGAGTATTTCATGGTTTTTATACATGGTTTAGAAGCATGTTATAGAGTATTTGGCATCTCACATATGTCATATTTCAAAAATGCATAAGGGGTCAACGTGAGGCCAAGTAATATTTTCAAAAACCATAAGCATGTGGTATATCATTCTTTGATGCATTGCTAAGTAGTAGAGTTGTTGCATGCATGAGAGATATATCTATGTATTATCTATATTGGTGAGGTTTTGGAGGATACCGGTTGGACTATGTCTTCTTGGCAGATATTTATGGACATTGCGGTCCCAGTATATGTAACGCGGCTTATTCCCACGTTACGAGGTTGGAAACTGTCCGCCAGGCTTGGAATCCTGGTTAGGGGGTGTGCACACTAATAGTTTGATACCTGATTCCACAGAGAGAGAACCACGAAATTGGTTCCGTAGATGGTAAGAGATATTGGGTCGGATTTATGTCGTTCCCGATGGGATAATTCACGCTTCGGTGAAACCCTAAGCCGTCTACGAGTAAAAGAAAGAGAGTCAAGAGAGACTCAAGAGAAAGAAAGCGAGTCAAGAGAGACTCAAAAGAAAGAAAGTGAGTCAAGAGAGACTCAAGAGAAAGAAAGCGAGTCAAGAGAGACTCAAAAGTAAGAAAGAAAGTAAGAAAGAGACATCCACAGAAAGTACTCTATTTTTCTATAAAGAGTGTATGAGTATATATATTGAATTGCACGAGATTGCATATTAATATAGAACTGCACATGATTGCATATGTTTATGGTATTGCACGAGATTGCATATGAGTATGATTATAGTATTGCACGAGAATGCATATGAGTATGATTATAGTATTGCACGAGATTGCATATGAGTATGATTATAGTATTGCACGAGATTGCATATGAGCATGATGTACAGTATTGCACGAGATTGCATATGAGCATGATGTACAGTATTGCACGAGATTGCATTTGAGTAGAGTATCGCATGAGATTACATAATGAGAATGTTGATTTAAGATTGTTCATCGAGCACGATTGTTTTATTATATTTGAAGCCTTGTATATCAAGTTTATGTGATAAGAATGTGAGAGCATGAGAATACCTGTTATATGGTTTATTAGCATGATTCTACCTGTGAGCATGAGTTGCTTGTTAAATTAATTGAGAAGTTTATATGTTGAAGTATCTAAGTGTGCAGTTTTATATAATAGCATGCCAGTAGATATTATAAGTTGCAAGCATCTAGAAAGTATGTGATAGATCTAAGGATGGTTTGAGATGAGTTTGTTGTTTACAAGAGAAATCAAATGTTTTCAAAGTTTATGCTATAATGCTTTATAGGGTTGAGTGTGGTTATACTTAGCTTCGTGCTAACGGGTGTTTTTCCTATTTGTCTATGTGT